ATTTTGGGATCCATTTTAGTGGGGATTGGGATGTTCACTGGGGGTACGATTTGGCTTTGGAACCATGGCCAAATGGCATCCAGGAGTTGCTGCACAACGTCAAGCATGGCCTGGACCACTCCGAGGAGACTTTGAAGAAGAAGGCGCCGAAGAGATGCCATTGGACCGTGGGTCGGGACGGAGTCGCCGAAAGTGAGCATGTGTTCATGTGTTGAGGGCACAGCCTGGTTGACAGGGAGAAAAGGAACGCCACCCTTCAGCAAGGTCCAGCATTCAGTTTCCCGGTTTGGATTGGGGGTTTGGTGGTTAGGGCTGCATTTACCCTTAAAAAGAAGCAGCGGGCCGAATCAACGGATTGATTCGGATCATGCGGTGTCGGTGGGTGTCCCTGGCTAGTTTCGATTTGGCGTTGGACATGTGCTACTGGTGGGTGTCCTTCTCTCGTTGATTTCAACCACGTCCTGGGTTCAACTGCACAAACTCCCTCTGGCCTCCCATAGGCGGCCTTTTGGAAACAATGGACTCCCCTGGCAAATGGAATAAAACCTCAACCAGTGCCATCTACTTTTATAACTTTCCCGAGATCCGAGTCAAGACCAATACCACGGAACTCTCCTGCGACCGGTTTCAGTGGGCTGCTTCGGATGGGGTTTCTGCCCTCGGGACCATGGATTCCGATGTCCCGGAGAGCCGAAGGGTCGGCCAAGGGCAACACGAGTGACCCGCAAGATGGGAGCCCCACACAAAAATGGGGATTCCTTTTTGAACGTCTGGTGGTTCCAGTCTTTCTTTCTTTACGGGTGGACCCCCCCCAAAATAGCCTGGTTTCCCTTGAAAGCCCCAAAAAGGGGGTACCATCTCCAAAACCCACTTATAGATCACTTTCAGGGGGAGTGCAACTTTATTTGCTCAATGTACGTGAGGCAAATTCTGGCAAAAGCCGCCTTGAGTCCCAAAAAAGGGTCGGATTCGACCCTTTAAACAAGACTCACACGTTTACAAACCATTCAAGCCGGTCGAACTTCCGGATTCGAAAGAGGCAAACGTCGCGGAGCGTTCAAATCTCTGCAAGGGTGCTCAGAAAACTGGGCCGAATGATCTAGGCCGCCGCCTTGGAGTCAGGAAGTTGATATCCATTGAACCGGCTGTGGCGGGTTTAGACAATTTGTTGGCTTGGAATTTAATTTGCGAGTTGGCTTTTTGTGTTGGTGATGTTTAGGAAGCCCTTTCGTTGTAGCGATTCGATGATCCACCCTGAACGACTGTTTTCCTTCTCTCGAGCTGCACCCCAAAACCCTCCGATTACAGGGTTTCGCCTTCTCCTTTAGTTGCAGTTTGCTATGTTTGGGGCATCCAGTGTATAACCCAAAATCAACGGGGCCCACATGCGCGACTGTCATGATCTATTGGCTATTGTCGCACACATGGGCGTGCACCGCAATTTGCTGCATTCACTTTTTAGCACTGGGCTATGTACCAATATCTGGGTTGCAGTGGAGTCATCAGGGGCACACCCACAAGTGCATGACCACAGTGCTTGAAACCGGATTGCGGAAGCTGTGGACTGCAATCGCCTCAGGTGTTGAATAAGATTGCCAAGGCAGGTTGAGCGAGCGACCGCATGCCAGGGATCTTACTTGATATCTAGGACAACAGGGATCCCCTGGAAGCAGATTTCTAGTTTTGTTTTTGCTTCGGGAGTTGATATTCAATTTTCGGGGTGCGAAGTGGACCTGTTATCTTGAGGTGTGTCTAGTGCCACAGGCAAAGCTCAATTGAGCCAACCCCACCGTTTCGGATCAAAGCCGAATTGGGATTAGCCATCAGCTTCGGCATGTGGAATTCTCACGCCCCTCGTTTTGAATTCCCATGCCCCGGGCCGCTCGTTTTCGAGGATGGAAAAGGTGGGAAAAGGGTAACCATGGGATTTTCCTGATCCCGGCCACTATAGCAGAAAACCATCCATTTGCCTTTGTTGTTTTGTTGGCGGTTTGCCTTTGTTACCTAGAGGGACATGGAATCACTCGACGGCTGTGATGCCGTGTTTGGTTGCGACTCAGCAGGCGCCTTGAAATGGGACTTGAACTTGTCCTGGGGCAAGGTTTGGTACCATACATCTGTTGCCCTTGACTAAAGTGATGATGGCAAGTAAAGCTCCAATGACCAAGTGGGTGTGCCCTTGTTGGAGGGTACCCTCTTTGGGGTGGTTAGGGGGAACAAAAGGACACCCGCCAAGTTTCAGGGTTCCCTCGGAGACAAACCAAAGTGTTTGGTTTTCGCAAGTTGTACTCGGGCAAGGTTCCGTTCATCACAGTCGGACGAAGGCAACTCTGGGAGTTACTTGCGTGATTCCATTTAGCCGCACAGGTGTCTCTTTTTTCTGTCGGGCTCCCGTTTATGGCGGGGTCTGAAAGGGACACCAACAGGCACACCATCATCTTGGTGTGTCCCCTCAAGAGAACACACCCGTATAGGTAGCCGAGGGACCGCCATTTTCAAAAAATCCAAATGGGAAATGGCTGGCTACCTGGTGGCTTGCGTGGGATCCACTGGGGACAGTGACTCGTGGCCCGGCGGATCTAAGTACCCATCCCACTAAAAGCAAGGATTCCCGCAGAAATTGGACGTTCCAATCAATGAACTGGGGATTTTTCTGACTCGGTTGACTTTGGGGTTTCTTTCCTTGCGGGACATATCGAATGACCGCTGTCCTTCCAGGCCCGTGAGACGATGATGGGGAAGCGGCTGCTGGTGGACACAGAGTGAGCGGAGCGTGAGACATGCGACTTGCGACTCGCGTCGCAACCGAACGTGCGGGAAGAAGCAAGAAAACAGACGCTCGATTTTGATTTCGGGGAGAGGAAAAGGGACACCCGCGCCAGTTTCGGAGGAGCACGCTATGAATCGGACGACGCTGCCATGAAGAAAACTCAGGTCAGGGCTCCCTACATTTCCCCTGGCGGTGGCTTTACACACCACCTTTTTGGCCCAAGATATTGGCGAGGGTCCCTTGAGGTGACGTTTTAAGGGGAAATATAGGGAGCCCTGCAGGTTGCGAAGAATTCTTAGAATCCGATTTAGATATGGCAGTGGCTCAAGAAACCGGTACCAAAATTGAACCTTGGTAAGTGGAAACATGGACCAACACCCGCGTAACCCCTCCTGTTTAATTTTGAGCCACAGTCATATGGATTCCTGCGGATTCCTCGACACTGTATTTGTTCCATGCTTTTTCTGGTCCCTTCTGTTACCCAAGAGGAATGCGGACAGTGTCTGAAGGGTTGTGCTTGGAATTCCGCAGTTATATCTTAACGGGTGAAGATCTGCCACGGCAGTCTCTACTCACCGTTGGGAGCTCATGAAAGGGACCCCCTCCTGTAAGGTTTGTCTCTGAGGACATCAAGCTGTATCCAGAATGTGGTGGGGGTCCCCTATTTTAAGTGTCACATGCTTGTCCAGTGGTCAACTTCCATCCTGAGGAACTATGAGACCGCTGTGTCTGCGGTAAAGCTGCAACAAGTCAAATCCATAAGTTATATTGCGTTGCAAATGTAGGACGATGACTCAGGCTATGTGCGGCTTTGGAATTCAGAAGTGGAAGTTGATGTCTTTAGGGCGAGCAGAGAGCTCAGTTTAATGATTGACCTGCCACGGCGGGAGGAAGACGCAGCCAAGTGGATGTACTCCACGAAGCATCGAACCCCGGGCGAGAGGTGCTCATTTTCCTCAGCTCAGCTTGAAGTGAATGCCTCGAGTGCTTCATTCCGTGAATTTTCACGGGGGCAACTGCTGGAAGAGGCGGTATCCAGTGTGTTGTGATGAAATGTGGCAATCCATCCCTCCCATGTTGCCATGGCGCCTGACAGGAGGTCCCTGAAGCAACTGATCTTCCATGTACCCTCCAGGTACTATGTTCGTGGCAGGAAAGGTGGCGGTGTGATGAAAAATCAAACCAACAGGGGACCGCAGGTTTTAGTCCACGTTTCCATTTGCCAGGGATCCATTTTGGGTACCTACTTTTGACCCACAGCCATACGTTTTTCAGGACAGCTGCCGTCACCCCCCCTCCCGCGTTGCAGCCACGTGGCAGCCAAGCTGCCATCTGGCTGCAGAGTGGGGGCGCAGGGCTGAACTATTCGCGCGGCTGACTTAGGGGCCGTTTTGGAATTTCCACTCATCACCCACAAGTGGGGGTTGATCAATATTCCCTTCGGGCCCGGAAATGACCATGGGCCACTTTTCCGTGTAGTTGACATATCAAATCTTTTCCTGGTTTCCCCCAAGAATCATCCCATGCTTCCATTCGTGAAAGAATGATTCGGACTTTTTTTTGATCCCCTGTTGGTTTCAGATTGAATCTACCACTGCTGGACATATATTTTTTGTTTTCCAGAGTGCGGACAAAAGCAACTGGAAGTATGTATCACGGACCGTTTGATCAACCTCCAAGTGGGAAGATGTGACGAGTCCACGGAGCCTCAGGATGTGGGATCGAGTCGCTCACGGCCCCTTCCAGGCGAAACTTATGCGCGCCCAAGGCGCAGCGTAGAACAGAGCCCAGAGCGTTTCAAACGCTGCGGAGTCTGGCTGCTGCGTTCAAGTGGTTCCATTTTGAGGGGTCTACTCCACTGTTTTGGTTCTGCTTGTTTTTTGGTGGGCGGCGGCAAAAAACAGTTTCTTTGCCTAAAAACGGTCTATCAAAGTTCTGATGGTTCCCAGCCATCCCCTTAGGTTTTTAGTCGTTCTTAGGGTTCAGTGGTTGGGTTTCCATTTCACCCACAAGTTAGACACTTTTAGCAGGGGATCAGAACATGGTCAGATGCTTTTGGGTTTTGCAGCATCATTTTGATGGCAGGTCCCGTGCTTGTATTTTTTTGTGGGTACTTTTGTTTGGTTGGTTTCTTAGGGAAACCACTCGGAAAATACCCGACTTTGGGGGGTCCGATTCCTACGACACCGCCACACCCTTTCTTCGGTCTCTTCTGCATTCGTTGTATGCCAGGAGACTTCAAGCGAGCGCGGCAGCAAGAGGCGAGGGCAGCAGGCTACTTTGATTGCCCCGCCCAGGCTCAGCTACTCTTCTTACAGGCAATCAGGGAGAGACATGCAAAATCTGGTGACAAATCCCGGGTAGCGGCCGAAATGCGGTGCCTGGGTCCTTTGGGCAGGATAAAGACACATGGCTGTGGGTCAAAACCAATGGTACCATTTTGGGGTAGGTGCACCACCCATTGTAGTCTATTTTAGTGGGGATTGGGATGTTCACTGGGGGTACGGGATTTTGATTCATGGCCACATCCCTGGCAGTCTTTTGTTCTTCCATTTCGGGGGCAACCGGATAACGGGCTCTGCCCAAAAGAAGACACCCATAGGCTGAAATTAGCTCAACCGCCCGCCCCGTCATCCCAAAAAATATGCCCCCGCCGGTTTAAACCTCCTCCCCACAAAAGTTGGATGTGTGGGATGGGGCGGACCCTGGGATTCTGTTTACGGTAGCCCATTTTCCATCTTTTGTGGGGGAAGCCTAGATAAATGGAATTGGGAACCCCCCCTCCCCCTTCAGGTAGGGGCAGCTTAAACATCGCCCTGGCTACTTTTCGACGGGATTTCCCGCGATGCTGGGCTGTTCTCATGGCAGGTGTCGCACTGGCGAGGGGGAGTCAGGAGCCAACGAGACAAGACATGGTCCATGTGGGATCCGGGTCCTTTGGCCTTGATCTTTCGACCACTCGGGATCTCCAAATGGGATTTGGACACCCAGCGGGTGGTTTTGTGGTTTCCTACCCCAAAAAAGGGTACAAAGGCAACACCAACTGCTTTTTGAACCAAGGAGCAGACGCGATGTTGCGCTTTTTTGGGAAGGCGTTTTACCGAGAGATCCTGTGCTTTTCGTCGCGAAAACCAGGACTTGTGATGGACATCGGCGCCAACTTCGGCCAGAGCAGCCCTGTCCTTGATTCCGGATTTGCCTTTTGACACCCCGTTTTAAGGGGAAATGGGATGTTAGCAAACGACTCTGTCTTTTGTAGCCACCCACTGAACATGAACAGAACCAAAGCACCTAAACACCTAAAAGCATGCCAACAGTGAAGCAGGTGCAAAGGGATGCCCTCATGTTTGGGACACTCACCCAAGCGTCAGGAAACCCATGCTCCAAAGATGGTCAAAGTTCAACTAGCTTGCGGAGTTCATGGATCTTTCTCGAACATGTTGGGAAGACCTCACGAGAATGGTGAATCCATGGCAAACGCTTCACAGGAATAATTTTTGAAAACGCAGCGCCCCAAACTTTTTGAGAATCCGTGCAACGGACGACGCTCATCCACGGCCTGTTTCAGTCAGCTTGGTTGAGAATAGATGGGTTCCACTGGTTGCAGGTTGGTTCTAATCATTGACCGTTGCCATCTATTTTTGCAACAGGACACCTATGTTGCTTCCATTTGGTTAAGCCTTTTTTGTTCCCTGTTGGTTTTGAAGGGAATCTTTCACTACTGGATATTTTGTTTGTTTCCCGGGGGCAAAAACACAAATGGAAGGTTGCGAGAGACTTCCTTCTGGCACGTGTTTTTTAGATATAGTCCGAACAAGGACTTCGGCCATGGGTGCTAGGGAGCGGTGTCGATACTATGTCGATCAGGTTTCCTCAACAAAAGGGGATGAATATTTTCTTGGTTTTTCCAGACCCCCTCTTTATCATGGGGCCTGCTGTGGGGGGGGCTTATTCAGGGACGAAGAAGAGCCTCCACCACTCCTCCGTGACTTTAGCCTGAGCGAGCAGCCTTTTGCTTGCCTTCGCTCGCCCAGGCGAGCGATATCTTGATGCAGGATTTCAGGCAAGCCGGCAAGCGCGCGACATCTGCACTCGGCTAATGGGTGGCCCTGTAACCCCCCTTTCTCCAACGGTACTCAGGGGGGAACCCTTTGACCCCTAGCACAGAGCTCCGCAGTATGGGTGTCTCTTTTTGAGGGTGCCTAATTTAAGTTTGGTTAAACAGAGAGCCAAAGTGAAACAGCAATTTGTTGTATTTTTTAGGGGGTCAGTTTCCTAAACAAAGAACACCCCCCGAAAAGGAAATCCTCAAAACACGCATTTCATCCTGGCCGTTTTTGTTGAGCGTGTTTGGAGAAGCCTCTGACTTCCAGCCACCTTGGCAGGCTAGGTCCTGAACGTGGGAAGTTAGATCACGGTGCGCCCATCCAGAAGCTCTTTTGATTCTTTAGTTGTTTAACGTTGACCCGGGATAAACAAACCCGTCCTATCAATAGACAAGTCCTACATTAAACCAGGGGACACACCCCTTTTGATAAACTGGGCTCGATGAATCCGGGAATCCCATTACTCATTCTTTGCCTTGGGGTTTCGCAACTTCTTCACCGTGGTTCTAACTTGCCGTGGGGTCGAATATCCGGGAGGTTTTGGGGCCATCGACTTAGCAGGTAGATTCGGTATTTCGGTATTATTTTTTGGCAGTCTATCCTTCCATTTGCTTAAGATTATTTTTGTTTTTCCCTTGTTGGTTTCAAAACGGAGTTTATCACTACTGGACATATTAATATTTTTCCATTTGGTCTAAACCAAATGGAAGTATCGGATCATTGTCGCCATATTGTCAGCTCAGAATAGATTACTCCTCACTTCAAAGGATGGGGCATGTTCACAGGAGCTTGCTCTGCAACAGAAGGACACCGCTGTCTGAGCTGGCCTTTCACATGATGTCATACTCAGCTGTCCTCTTCAAAAGGCCCCCCGCCCCCAGCACTGAGACAGGTTTTACAGTCGGGTGACAGAGGCTGAACGGAATATTGATCAACCCCCCAGATATAAGATAAAGTTGCTGGTGCTCAGAAGGGAATGGAAAGGAACCCAGGCTTTGGTCCCCAAAAAGGACACCACCAGTTGGATGGTTTCTGTTGCGGTCATTGCATTTCTCATTCCCTGCCTATCGCACCAGCAAGTAAAGGGAGTTGTGGCATCTACTTTCACTGCTGTCAGGTCGTTGCATTGGAGCCGAACCCTGTGGCAGCCAACGCCCGGATGCGCAGTTCGTTGCTTCGGTTGCAGGTTGCTGAACCTATGAGGATTTCATGTCGTAACCAAGAGAGCCACCCTCAAAATAATAATCACCCCCCACCAATTAACATGGAACCTGACGGATCCTGGAAGACTGTTTGGCAGGCTAGCACATGGCAGGTTGATGCTGGCAGCTCCGGCATCCCAGCATGCAAAGCATCATCCCAGGCACTTGCGGGATGGTTTAGTGGGGGTATACCTAGCTTGGTGCTTTCGTGGGTTTAGTGGTGGGTATACTGTTTTTTGGGGTTTTCCCCTTTTTGGGGTTTTGTAGGGGTTATACTCGCTGTACGCAGAGAAAAACGGACAACGTTCCGAGGCGATCCGCGCGCGCCTGGCCGAGCCCATCCGCTCCGGCAGATTGGTCTTGGAGGAAGGCCGCTCGATTCATTAGAAGGTGTCTCCAAATGGGTTTGTCCATGTTTCTTCCCTTTTTGTTTGCACTTGTTTGGGTGTTTTTTGGAGGGAGGCATTGCTTTTGTCTTCCCTTTTTGTTTGGCGTTTGTTTGGGCGTTGTTTCTTTTTTTTTTCTGCTTACGTTTGTTTGGTGTTTTTTAGGAGGCAGCCTCCTCTTTGTTGAGTTGGTACTTGCTTGTTCTTTTGTAGGGTACCTTTTTGTTTACGTGTTGTTTGGAGGGGCACCAAAAGGAACACTTTGTTGGTGGGTCCCCAAATAAAAGGCCGACCCGATAAATCGAGGCCCTCTTGGTTGGAATTTACAGGGACGCCAAAGGACACCACCCATTTTAGGGGGCCGAACCCTATTTCTTCTCGCAGAGTTCTTCGCAAGGCTCTGAAAAATTTGTCCGCGAGCGTAGGGGTTCCGATCGCGAGCGCGCCAGACAAGTGGTATTCTTGCCCCCGAAGCAGCCGCAAGGAACCCATATTTGTCTTGACGGCTATTGGGTTGGATCTTTAGACTTTACAATTTTGGGAAATACAGCTGTTTTCCACTCAATCCCCAAAAAGTTAAACACTTTTTGCAGGGGGGTCAACAGCAACCGAGTTGTTCGAACCCATTTGTGGTCACCTCAATGCCGACGGATTCAACCCGGCGAGTTGATTCGGCGTTTCATGGAGCGCATGCAAAGGGGACTTGGCAAGCGTCACGGCACTGCCTTGCCCATGCCCAAACACCGTCAGGCACTGTCCAGTTGGAGGGCACTGAGTATTCTTCAAGTGTTTGAGGGGTTTCTTTTTCGTTTGAACGTCCCAAGCGGTTTGAAAGCGGGAAGCAGCTCAAAGATGTGCTTCCTTAGTCGCCGGCCTTTTGGAGCGCATCTCGGGTCTTGATGCAGCTTGATGGGCCGAACGGAGAGACACCAGGTTGGCTCAGAGTTTGAAACACATGGCCAATCCACAAGAGTGGGACATTTATATTTTGGGTTCTGTCTTGTTTGAGCCTGGTCACAGGATTTTGGGAGCTGCCCTGAACAAGGCGCAAGTCTTAGTCATTTACCCGCAGGGGCATTTTCGTCAAGATCTTGCACATGCTGTGCTGGTGCTCTTGCATTGAGCATTGGCTCCAAGAAACCATTGGACACTTGCCTACCTGCTTGCAATACAGTGGATGGACGAAATCCTGCACCACTTTGAAGCCATGGTTGAAACCATTGCTTGCTAATATTTGCTCGGGAATCATCAGACACCAGGGCTTGTTCGGTGGTGCGAAATGGATTTCGCAACCATCCAAAGTATTTACCAAGTTCGCCAAGGGAGCTGAAGCCAACATCTCAAGTGGACCGCTGGAGACATTTTTTCCGAGAGTAAGTCCGACAGCGCGGAAGGACATTGTTTTCACGCGCTTGGTTCGGTGTGGAAATCTCTTTTTGAGGGCGCACTTTTTGGATTCTTTGAAAGGAAGCCAAGAGAAAACCGCCCATTTTTGTAGTTTGCCCCATTTTGAGATAAACCTATTGTGGTTTAAGGAAAGCAGACGGGGATGTACAAGCATCGTTTTTCTTCCTAAACCACTTATTTGGCACCAGCATCGACCGATCTGACATGACTTGTTTGAGTCTTGGGCCCCGTTTCTGCACATGGAGCCTGTGATACTCTACAGGCCTCATTATTTGGAATGGGCTTGCGGGGCACTTTACAACATCTTTAAGCTCAATGTAAGTCATGATCGTAAGTGAGTATGGTGTGCGAATTCTTTGCCCCTTACCCTCCCAAACCTCCCCATGCCGAAGGAACTTGGTCACCTTCCCAGACCTGTCCTAAAATTAGCGGTTGATGTCGTTACGCAGCTGAGACGCCCCGTTCCCTCGAAAAGAAGATCAACAAGTTTGGAGATCAAGCGATCACCTCTGACTCATGTTCCAACCAGAAACCAAAAGAAGCCACCCTGTTGCCAAATTTCAGTTGGAGACCCCAAGAAATGTGCTACGTTTGCAAGTGCATGCAACTCCAATTCTCGGGTATGAACTAGACTTACGCAGAGCCAGACATTTGTGCAGGAGAAGGCTGTGTGGACTGCGGCAAAGGCCAGACGCTCCGTTCCGGAAGGTGCCGCATTGTTTGGGCTCATTTGCGTATACCATTCTGGGGGGTAAGGCGTGCCGAAATCTTACCTGCCCATCCACTAACAATGAATCTTCCTGCGGGGTCCTGGAAGACGATATTCCTTTAAAGGGACCCTGTGGTGGGTTCCATGATCACGAAAAGGAGGGTAACCATGGTTGAAAAAAAACAACAAACGAAGGTTTTTGGGACCAATTGGGGTTTGCCTCCACGTGTGCTATGGTCACTTTTGACCTGTTTTCTTGGTGACATGGACTGCAGGATGACCATTTTACAGCCAAAGAATGGTAGCCTCACACGATGGCCTTGCCCTCTAAAAATAATGTGAGCGGACAATATTTGCTATCATGGACTGGAGACGGACATGGGGGTTGGGGGACAGTGTATGAGGCCATGGCCAGTAGAGGAGTATTATATATATATATATATACACATGAATATTGACCGGTGTCATCGTCTTGGAAGCAGAGGGCAATACTATTCAATAGGGGTTGCTGAGCAAGTCTGTGTTGTCATCTCGTGACTTTCCGTTCATTGATGCGGTAGGCGTGGCGTTCGCGTTCACGAGGTGAACAGTCCAAATCGCTTCAGGTAGACGAGGGTTAGTAGAGGACAGTCCCAACATTTAATGGAGTCTGATTTCAACAAACTCATTGTTTCTCTGCAATGGGTTTTGAGGCAGGCTCCGTTCACGCCAGGTGTTGATGATGACTGAACTCGAGGGACCCCCCCAGTTTCTTGTGGATCCTCTTGCAAAGGTGGTTCTGACAGGCTACCCAGGATTTGGGTGGAACTTTGACCTTTTTGAAGCTGTTGAAAGATGTCTCTTCTTGTCTAATGGCACCTTTTGAGGGGTTGTTTTCAAGCACGACGACGAAGCAACTCATATTGGGGGTCCCCTGTTTTAAGCCACATTCATGTTGGTTTTCCACTAGTAGATTTGACTCTTGCCAGGGATCCAGTTTGACCAACCTGCATCTTGCCGGTGTTTTGGCGAACGCTCACCAAATACGTCGTCTAAAGGTTTAATCTAAAACAGGATCAAATTCGTTTGTACATATGTGTATAAATATATGGCATCACAGATGATGACAGACAAAAAGGTTGACATTTGGGGGGGGGGGACCGCACCATATACATATGTATATATCTATACATATATATATATATACATACAATACAATATACAACATACACAAATCTGGGGCGAACTAAAGCAACCTGGGCGACTTCGATCCAATGAGGGTGCCTTTCTTCGGGGTCGGCCAAGAAGATCACAACTGCCCAGAACTCCCGTCCCTCTCTGCCAACGTGGAACTTGACTAAGGGGTACAAGGCGATTTTCGTTTCCATTTGCTGAAATGCATTTTTTTTCATTTTCCTCTGTTGGTTTTAACAGGATTTTATCGCTACTGGACATATTCTTACTCTTTCCAGGGTTCTTACCCAAATCGAAGTTTCGTTTAAGGGGGGCAATCAGGTGGATTCCGCGTTGAAGGACAGGAGGGCATGCTTCAGGCTAATGTACGGTTGATATTTGCCTATGGTCATCTACTGGACATGGGGCAAACTCAGCAAAAGACTACTCGCGAAACAGGTATGCACTACTAACCAAAATCTAATGTCGTTCGAGGGAGACACTAAAGACTGGCCGCGGCTCTTTTGCAATTTTATACTTCATCTAGATAGCACCTCCCAACCTGCCTGTGCATTTCGCTGGGCTTTGGACCCCCCGAAATTTCGTATTTTTCCTTTCCCCTGAGCACCATCCCAAAAAGGGTCCTTTTGCTCTCCAAGTCGCAGCCCATGAGCAGGTGACCCTCTATGTGAACCAGGAGGATTCCGAGTGGAGCAGCGCCTTGGGCTGAAGCTGAAAGAGGGGCTTGGAATTTGGGGCCAAAGAAAAAAGGTTTAACTTGCTTGGGTGCTATTGGATCGTTAGACGTTTTAACTTTTTGGTTGAAATCAAGTTGGTTTTCCGCATTGAGCCCAGGGGCCAAAGAAAAACGTGTCGTGTACTTGGGTGCTATTGGGTGCGGAGGAGAGAGCAGGGCTTTCGATCCCGTGGGACGGTTCCAAGAAGGCCAATGTCTTTTTTTTTGTGTGTGCGTGTGTGTGGGGGGCCCAGATCTCTACATTTTGACACATGCCTACAGGATGTTTTTTGACGCGGCGCCCCGATAAAGCATTCCTTGCAGGCATATTGTTCCAGCCAAAAGGCGAGAGGAGAAAAGGCTGGGTCTTCCCCTGAAATGTTCAAATGGCCGGTCAAAAACGGAAACTCCAAAATGGGTTGCCCTGGTAAATGGACACAACGGCCTAAATTTGCGTACGCCTAGATGTTGATTTTTGAGCGACACTCAAATGGTGCGTTTCCTTGTGCGCCAAAAAACCCATGTCTAAGCAAGGGCAACTTTCCAGGGATGGGTTCCCCCCCAGTTGGCAACACCACTCGCAGGAATCAGGGGTCCGCATGGAGAAACACCATGTCAACTTTGAGGGTTCCAGCTCGGTTCCCGGGTTTTGGGGCCGAATTGATTTGCAGATATTTGTTTTGGTGTCATTGGGCTTTCGACCCAAAATATATATGTTTTTGTTTTTGTTTTTTAAACCGACCAAAGGGGGTGCCCTGAAAGAACTACTCAACCAACGTGAAAGGCTAGCAACTCCAAACACACGATTCCATGTCCATGGTGTGAAGCTTACTTGTGCACCCTCCAAACGTTCCAACCGTTGATGTTCGCTGCTATACTTGGGGTAGCCTCTTCGGGGTTGAATTTTTTAAGGGAAGTCCACCTCAAAAATGGTTGGACATGCGCTCCAGTCTTGTTGACAAGTTTTGTTTTTCCCCAAACAGTTTACTGTGAGGGGTTCTAAATTCATTTAAGGTGGCTCGCCTGTTGCCAAGCCCTAGCCTGGATGCCTGGCACAGCTCTCTGGGTGGACGGGTTCATTTGTCTCCCTGTGTCTCCCTTCATTTGTCTCCCGTTGTCTCCCCGCCTGGATGCCTGGCACGGCTCTCTGGGTGGACGCGTTCGTTTGTCTCCCTGGGTTCACTTGTCTCCCTTTGTCTCCCTTCATTTGTCTCCCGTTGTCTCCCAGCCTGGATGATCCAGTCTGGGTGGACGGGTTCATTTGTCTCCCTTTGTCATTTGTCTCCCGTTGTCTCCCAGCCTGGATGCCTGGCACGGCTCTCTGGGTGGACGGGTTCATTTGTCTCCCTTTGTCTCCCTTCATTTGTCTCCCAGCCTGGATGCCTGGCGCGGCTCGGGTTCATTTGTCTCCCTTTGTCTCCCTTCATTTGTCTCCCGTTGTCTCCCAGCCTGGATGCCTGGGTGGACAGATTCACTTGTCTCCCTTTGTCTCCCTTCATTTGTCGCCCGTTGTCTCCCAGCCTGGATCTGGCACGGCTCTCTGGGTGGACGGGTTCATGTGTCTCCCTTTGTCCCCTTCATTTGTCTCCCGTTCTCTCCCAGCCTGGATGCCTGGCACGGCTCTCTGGGTGGACGGGTTCATTTGTCTCCCTTTGTCTCCCTTGATTTCTCCCGTTGTCTCCCAGCCTGGATGCCTGGCACGGCTCTCTGGGTGGACGGGTTCATTTGTCTCCCTTTGTCTCCCTTCATTTGTCTCCCGTTGTCTCCCAGCCTGGATGCCTGGCGCGGCTCTCTGGGTGGACGGGTTCATTTGTCTACCTTTGTCTCCCAGGATGTCTGGCACCCCTTTGTTTCCCTTCATTTGTCTCCCGTTGTCTCCCAGCCTGGATGCCTGGCACTGTTTTTTTGGTGGACAGATTCACTTTTCTCCCTTTGTCTCCCTTCATTTGGCTCCTGTTGTCTCCCAGCCTGGATGTCTGTCACGGCTCTCCAGGCGGACGGATTCACTTGTCTCCCTTGGTTCCCCTTCATTTGTCTCCCATCTCTGTGGGTGGACGGATTCATTTGTTTCCCTTTGTCTCCCTTTATTTGTCTCCCGTTGTCTCCCAGCCTGGATGCCTGGCACGGCTCTCTGGGTGGACGGATTCATTTGTCTCCCGTTGTCTCCCAGCCTGGATGTGTGGCACTCACGCTCCGCGGTTTCCTTCACTTCCCGCGGTTCTGTCCTTTTGGCGGGGTCTGGTTTGCCTTCGGCTTTGGCCCTGGCTTCGGTCATTCCTTGTCTTGTGGATGTTGGGGACAGGGTCCTCCTCTGTCTGCCCTTCATCTGGACTTCGATTTCGCTTGGGCTCGTGGTGGGTCGTCTTCCTTGTCTATCGTTGGCTACACCCTGTCTGTTCGTTCAGTGCCTCGTTATCAGTTGCGGTCCCGAGCTGACGATAGCGGTGCGCTGCGGTGCGCGGCTTCAGCTACGAGAAGGCTCTGTTAACCCCCCGGTGAAACAAACGTGAATCACGCTGGAGTTAAATCCTCTATCGATTCTTCGAGGATGTTCAACGAACCTTACGCTGAGATACCCAGTGGTGCTCTTGGCACCTGGGGTTGTCCCGGCTCTCCCGGCGGACGGGTTCATTTGTCTCCCTTTGTCTGGACGCCTGTCACCTCTCTGGGGTGGAGGGGTTCATTTGTCTCCCTTTGTCTCCCTTCATTTGTCTCCCGTTGTCTCCCAGCCTGGATGCCTGGCACGGCTCTCTGGGTGGACGGGTTCATTTGTCACCCTTTGTCTCCCTTCATTTGTCTCCCGTTGCCTCCCAGCCTGGATGCCTGGCACGGCTCTCTGGGTGGACGGGTTCATTTGTCTCCCTTTGTCTCCCTTCATTTGTCTGGCACGGCTCTCTGGGCTTTGTTTCCCTTCATTTGTCTCCCGTTGTCTCCCAGCCTGGATGTCTGGCACGGCTCTCCAGGCGGACAGATTCACTTGTCTCCCTTTGTCTCCCTTCATTTGTCTCCCGTTGTCTCCCAGCCTGGATGCCTGGCACGGCTCTTTGGGTGGACAGTTTCACTTGTCTCCCTTTGTCTCCCTTCATTTGGCTCCCGTTGTCTCCCAGCCTGGATGTCTGTCACGGCTCTCCAGGCGGACGGATTCACTTGTCTCCCTTGGTTCCCCTTCATTTGTCTCCCATCTCTGTGGGTGGACGGATTGATTTGTCTCCCTTTGTCTCCCTTTATTTGTCTCCCGTTGTCTCCCAGCCTGGATGCCTCTCTGGGTGGACGGATTCATTTGTCTCCCTTTGTCTCCCTTTGTTTGTCTCCCGTTGTCTCCCAGCCTGGATGCCCCTCTGGGTGGACGGATTCATTTGTCTCCCGTTGTCTCCCAGCCTGGATGTGTGGCACTCACGCTCCGCGGTTTCCTTCACTTCCCGCGGTTCTGTCCTTTTGGCGGGGTCTGGTTTGCCTTCGGCTTCGGCCCTGGCTTCGGTCATTCCTTGTCTTGTGGATGTTGGGGACAGGGTCCTCTGTCTGCCCTTCATCTGGACTTCGATTTTGCTTGGGCTCGTGGTGGGTCGTCTTCCTTGTCTATCGTTGGCTACACCCTGTCTGTTCGTTCAGTGCCTCGTTATCAGTTGCGGCCTCTCTCTGTCCTTGCTCGCATTTGGAGTCCCGAGCTGACGAGAGCGGTGCGCTGCGGTGCACGGCTTCAGCTACGAGAAGGCTCTGTTAACCCCCCGGTGAAACAAACGTGAATCACGCTGGAGTTAAATCGTCTATCGATTCTTTGATGATGTTCAACGAACCTACGCCGAGATACCCAGTGGTGCTCTTGGCACCTGGGGTTGTCCCGGCTCTCCCGGCGGACGGGTTCCTCTCCCTTCATTTGCCTGACAGATTCATTTGTCTCCCTTTGTCTCCCTTTATTTGGCCCCGGTTGTCTCCCAGCCTGGATGCCTGTCACGGCTCTCTGGGTGGACGGATTCGTTTGTCTCCCAGCTTGGATGTCTGGCACGGCTCTCCGGGCGGACGGGTTCATTTGTCTCCCTTTGTCTCCTTCTTGTTGTCCCCCAGCCTGGATGCCTGGCACGGCTCCCTGGTCATTCGCGGTGTATTCCGCGGGCACGCATGTGTGTTTGAGGCTCAGAAACGTGTGTTTGAGCGCGCGCGTGCGCTTGATCAAGCCACAGGCAGCATGCTGCGGATGCACGTACGAGTGCTTCAAGTAAATGATTGTGTGTTCTTGGTGTGTTCCAGCTGACCACATCGGCGCGTTCCAAGTGAACACGCACTTTTTGCATGTGACCACATGAGTGTGTTCCACGTCAGCACATGTTTGTGTTCCAGGTGAAAGCATGCGATTGTTCTGATAAAACACATATGCGATCCGGTCAAAATTCCTAGTAAGGGGGTTTAGTCTACAGAGGCCACCGTCGCAGTCACTTTGTGCAGTTTTTCATTCACACAAAGCGGAGTCCTGCAAATACCAATGGATTGCCCGCTCCCCACTGGAGGCGCTAGGATGGCGCTTGGTTTGCGCTAGGGTCTTCGGTGATCTTGGTTTCCAAGAGTTGGCGCGTGGGTTGCCGCGATGGGCTTTGCGTGGCTTTCAAGGGTGTAATGTTGCAGTTCTTACTTAGTACTTGAAGCCAGCCCGCACGTTTACCTTCATCTTACGTGGCCTTAATTTGTCAAATCCACACAGATGGTCGCCGTGACTCCAAAAAATACGGCGAACCCGCGCTAGCCGCGCGCTAGCAAGGCGCTAGCGCAGTGGTCAGCTGTGACCGGTTCCCAGTTACGCTTCAATCCAAATTTGCTTCCGCTCTCCTCGCATGCAATTATCATGGAGTGCGATTTGCTGGACAAAGGGGAGAAACAACGGCTGAGGCAAGACGGCAGGGATGCCTTGTACCGAGCATACGGAAGAATTGGGTTGCGTATTTCCCTGCGAAAGCAAATGCTTTACTGAATCGATACGAAGAGTTGCCACAATACGATCAAAGCACTTTAGCAATCGATACGAAAGACACTGTGCAGCTAAGCGAGAAAGAAGCGCAATGCGCCGGAAAGCTTTTGCTAAGCTGAAGCCTGTAACTGCTGGAGACGCATCCGATACTGATAGTACTAGCAGTAGTAGCAGCAGCAGCAGCAGCAGCAGGCTCGCACGCTAGCAACATGTTGCAAAAAAGCTTGATTGATCGTACACGAACACTATTTTCCTACTTGGGACATGCATATAAAACACAAGCGCTGTTCAAGGCAGAGCCCCATGGAATAGCGCCTCACAGTCGGCTTCGGGAACTTGATTTGTCCATGCGAACACATTTTTGTTGCCCAGGTGAACGCATGTGTGTTGCACATTTGTGTTGCACATGTTTCTCCACATGTGCACACACGTGTGTTCCATGTGTACACATATGTGTGTTACAAGTCAACACAGAAGTTTGTTCTGGTTAAACATGCTTGTGTGATCCAGGTCTGCACCAGTGTCGCACGTGAACACAAATGCCTGTTCCAAGTGAGCGCATATATGGGTTCCAGGTGAACACATATGTGTGTTGCAGGTGAACAGAAATGTGCTTTCCAGACATACACACATATGTGTTCCAGGTGTACGCATGTGTGTGTGTGCGTGTTCCGGGCGCGCATATATATATATATATGTGTGTGTGTGTGTTCGCGTGTGCACATATGTGTGTTCCACATGTACACATATGTGCGTTCACGTGCGCACATATGCGTGTTGCACGTGTACACATATGTGTGTTCACGTGTACACACATGTGTGTTCTTATCAGACACGTGTATGTGTTCCAGGAGAACACATGTTTGTTATCAGATGAACACGTGCGTGTGTGTCTGCTCCGCGTGCACTTTTTTTGTATGTGTGTTCACGTGCACACATTGTGTGTTCACGCGTGCGCACATGTGCGTTCCAACTGGACACGTGTTTGTGTTCCAGGAGGACACATGTTTGTTATCAGATGAACACGTGTGTGTGTGTGTCTGCTCCGCATGCGCATGTGTGTGTGTTCATTTGCACACATATGTGTGTTCCACGTGCACACATTTGTGTGTTCACGTGTCCACACATGTGTGTTCCAATTGGACACGTGTTTGTGTTTCAGGTGAATACATGTTTGTTTTCAGATGAACGCACGTGTGTGTGTGTTCCGGGTGCGCATATATATGTGTGTGTTCACGTGTACACATATGTGTGTTCACGTGTACACACGTCTGTGTTCCAATTAGACACACGGTTGTGTTCCAGGAGAACACGTGTTTGTTATCAGATGAACACTCGTGTGTGTCTGTGTTTTCCGCGCGCGCATAAATGTGTGTGTTCACATGTGCAGTACACATGTGTGTGTTCCACGTGTGCTGTGTTCACGTGTACACATATGTGTGTTCACGTGTACACACGTCTGTGTTCCAATTAGACACACGGTTGTGTTCCAGGAGAACACGTGTTTGTTATCAGATGAACACTCGTGTGTGTCTGTGTTTTCCGCGCGCGCATAAATGTGTGTGTTCACATGTGCAGTACACATGTGTGTGTTGCACGTGTGCACATGTGTGTGTTCACGTGTGCGCATTTGCGTCTCCCACGTGTACACATATGTGTGTTCACGTGTACACACATGTGTGTTCCAATGGACACGTGTTTGTGTTCCAGGTGAACACATGTTTGTTTTCAGATGAACACTCGTGTGTGTGTGTTCCGGGTGCGCGTATATATGTGTGTGTTCACGTGTACACATATGTGTGTTCACGTGTACACACGTCTGTGTTCCAATTAGACACACGGTTGTGTTCCAGGAGAACACATGTTTGTTATCAGATGAACACGTGCGTGTGTGTCTGCTCCGCGTGCACTTTTTTGTATGTGTGTTCACGGCACACATTGTGTGTTCGCGCGTGCACACATGTGCGTTCCAACTGGACACGTGTTTGTGTTCCAGGAGGACACATGTTTGTTATCAGATGAACGCGTGTGTGTGTGTGTGTGTCTGCTCCGCGTGCGCATGTATGTGTGTTCATTTGCACACATATGTGTGTTCCACATGTACACATTTGTGAGTTCATGTGTCCACACATGTTTGTTCCAATTGGACACGTGTTTGTGTTTCAGGTGAATACATGTTTGTTTTCAGATGAACGCACGTGTGTGTGTGTGTTCCGGGTGCGCATATATATATATATAAATATGTGTGTGTTCACGTGTACACATATGTGTGTTCACGTGTACACACGGTTGTGTTCCAATTAGACACACGGTTGTGTTCCAGGAGACCACGTGTTTGTTATCAGATGAACACTCGTGTGTGTCTGTGTTTTCCGCGCGCGCATAAATGTGTGTGTTCACATGTGCAGTACACATGTGTGTGTTCCACGTGTGCACATGTGTGTGTGTTCACGTGTGCGCATTTGCGTCTCCCACGTGTACACATATGTGTGTTCACGTGTACACACATGCGTGTTCCAATTGGACACGTGTTTGTGTTCCAGGAGAACACATGGTTGTTATCAGATGAGCACACGGGTGTGTGTTCCGGGTGCACATATATGTGAGTGTTCACGTGTGCACATATGCGTGTTCACGTGTGCACATATGTGTGTTCCACGTGTACGCACATGTGTGTTCCAATTGGACACGTGTTTGTGTTCCAGGTGAACAGATGTGTGTTTCACGTGAACACATTAGTATGTGCTAGGTGAACTTTTTTTGGCATCTGACGACATATTTGCTCTCCAGGTGTGCACATGTATGCGCTCCAGAAAACGCATGATTGTTTTCGAGGTGCGCGCATGTGTGTGCGATTTAGGTGAGCATTTATGTTTGCTCACGTGTGCGCATATGTGTGTTCCACATGTACACACATGTGTGCTTTAATCGCACACGCGGTGTTCCAGGTGGACACATGTTTGTGTTCCAGTGGTATACATATGTGTGTCCCACGCGTACACACATGTGTGCTTTAATTGCGCGTCTTTGTGTTCCAGGTGAACGCATGTGTGTTCCACGTGTACACACATGTGTGTCTGAATTGGACACGCGTTTCATTGTGTTCCAAGTGAACACACATGTGTGTTCCACGTGAACGCATTAGCGTGTCGTAAGTGAACACATATGTGCGTTCCACGTTTGCACATGTGTGTGTGTGCTTTCCAAGAAGCACATGTTTGTTTTCCAGCTCAACACATTTATGCGTGTGCCGCAGGTGAATGTATACTGTTTCAGTCGTATACGTATGTGTGTTCCACGTGTACACACATGTGTGTCTGAATTGGACATGTGTGTTTGAACTGCCCATGTGACTGCGTGCTTGCGCGGCCACACTTGCGTTCACGCGCGCGCGCTCGCCCGCCATCGCGCGCGCTTGCCCAACCTCAGTTCTGGCGCGGTGCTGAAGCGCGAAGCACGCCAGCAACACACGTGCAGCAACGCAACGCGCGCCAGGTTCACGACTGCATCATTTTGATTCATCCGTGTTGAAGCGCAGAAAGCCACAAGCTGTTGGCATGTTTGTGCTCGCCCGTCAGCCCTCAACTGTTTGGGGTCTCTGCTGGTGTAATTTCTTCTTCTTTGGGTTCTGTTCATGTTTCGGGGGCTGCCAAAAACGTAAAAAAGCCTTTTGCCACCTTTTCCAAAGGTTGCAAAGTGACCCCCCGTTCTCTTTGATCACCTTTCATCCTCTCCTTTCGGTTCTGTTCCCCTTCCCCTGCCGCGTGGCTCGAGGCTGCTTCCCCAGCGTGGGCGCGCGCTACGACACGCAGACGGCGGCCGTGCCGGTGGAGGCCGCCCAGCTGAAGGACGGGGAGCCAGTCGACGCGGAGCTCGGTGCGCTGATAGGTGGCCATAGGTGTCCCTTTTTGGTTGGTTGGCCTAAAACATAGAGGGCCCTGGTCTGCCTGGTTCAATCATCCAGGGAAATCCATCTATTTTCCAAAAAGGGCGGTCTTAGGGTGGTTTGGTTAGAAAATAGAAGGGTTGCATTGGTTCAGAGGGGGTTTATTGCTTTTGCCAGGGTTATTTATTTTTCCAAAAGGCCACCTATGGTTGCGCTCGGCTTGGCGGATTTTTTTGGGAGCCATGGTTGGCCTTTGGCCTTTTTTTTGGTTGGTGCGTGTGGGTGTTTCGTGTTGGTGCTTTTGAAAAACTGGTCCCTTAGTTCCCGGCCACCTGCTGTCTTTTTGTTGTGGGGGGTTCGTGGTGGGGTTTCCATCTACCCCACGACAGTGAACAACTTTCGGGGGACCTGAGGACAGCCCGGCTTTGGGTTCGTATTTGGCTCACCAAAAAAACGCTGCACCAGCGAAGATCGAGGTGGATTTGGGTTCTGTTTTGACACAGCGATGTATCTTGGTGGGGATTTGGTGACCCCCCCGATTTCCCTTTAGAGAGGGCAGAGCATGTGCACTTTCAAGTTCAAGTAGTTTTTCTCCACCTGTGCGTCCCGCAGGCTAGAAGCCAGATAGAAGGCAATACAACGAAGGGCACATGCGAAAGATAATCTAGGACTGCACTAGACACATGCTGAAGCTTTGGAACATACTCTAAATATAATAGATATACACTGGATGGAAGCTATCTGCAGCCGCAAC